ATAATCGTTATTCCTTTAACTCTCCTCACGAAATCTATAAACATTATAACCCACAACTTCATATTATTAACCTATATTATAAACAGGTTTCTTTATTAGTTAGGATTACGAAGAATAAGTTTTCACAAATAAAAGGAGTATAAATTGCTGAGCTCAATTGATTTATTGCACCTATAGGCTAAACACAAACGTTTAAACATACCTCTCATCTAATTTCCGAGTTACTTCGTGGATTACCGAATCACTTTTACAGTTTATAAAACGAGACATATACTTTAAGATTTTTTTAGTCGCAACTTTCTACAATTCGTTTTCATGGTGTACAATTGGTTTAAAGGATTTTACTTATTTGCGCGGGTAACACAAACCAAAAAAAGGAAATCGAATTTTGTAAATAAACTAAGTGCGTAAAGATACGTAAAAGTTTAGGGCTAGGACGTTAACATTATAGGATATAGCAATAGATTGTTACCCATTAAATGCAAAATTTCGTTTCCAACATTTTTAATTCGGCCATTTCCTTTTTAGGGTTTGTATTACTCGCGAAAATAAGTGCGTGCGGTTCTAATAGACATTTCGATCTTTGCCAGATTACGTAATAATCAGCCAATCAGATCGTCAAAATTTGAAAAACACCAAAAATGGGGGTCCTTAAAGCGGGGGCAGATTACGTAATAATTAGCCAATTGGGTCGTCAAAATTTGATAAATCCGGATCAGCCTGACGAAACAAAACAAGCGAAAAAAAGAGAAAAAAGCGAATAATACCAAAAATGGTAGTCTAAACTATCTTGGTGCTTTAATAAAAAATTTCGGGAAGTTAATTTTGCTTATAAAAATATCTTTGAACTCAACCCAAAGTGACCCTAACCCTAATGTTAATGAAAAACGGCACAACACGTTATCTGCCCCGCTTTAAGGACCCACCTTTATAGGAGTGCATTACCGGCAAATACACAGTAAATCTCTATTCGCAACGCAGGAAGATGCTCTCATTATTGTTATGCAAGCCTAAACTTCAGCTTTTATGCGTAGAAATAATACTATTTCTATGCATATTGCTAAACTTAGTCATTCTTTATCTTCTCTATGTAGTGTTATATGGAATTTCTCGAATGATATTACTTGACCTTACGTTTATATCTATGTCCGTATATCATATGATTTTGAATGCAATGTGAAGATATTCAAGACAGCTCGATGGTTTTGAGGATCCTATATGGATACAGTCATGGTATTCTGCTCTATCTCATGTTCCCATTCACTTTCATATTGAAATTATTAGATTAGCGATTAGTATCAATCGTAAATGTTCAAAAAAAGTGTTGTAAGTCCTTGATCTTGAAAATATTATAAAAGGCCTTGCTTTGTTGCATAGACTTCGACTTTTCTCCTTATAATTTCGAACTCTCAACTACCCTTTTATTACATTTGTTTATATTTATTATTTAATAAAGTATATCGTGCATACACGACCATTTTAAACTCTATCGTTAAGAACCTTCACGATCGCTATTTACTATTTTAAAAGACAAGCGATATTACACGCTTTTTAACTCCTCCGCGTTAAGTAGGATAACGATCTAGAATGAATTCACCAAGTGTTCTATTATATACTGCTGCTATACGACTATCTGTATCTTCTTATACATTAAGCTGTCTGTCTCTTTCGTAACTGCAAATCACTATAAATCCTCTTGATGCTAATATACTTATTGGCATTAAACCCTATCCTATACATAACATACGTGAGGCATTTAATTATTATTGTCTCTAGTTACTCCGTACTTATAAAGAGGTAGTTCGGTCGTGAAAGTAGGTTTCTGGACGTTCTGCACGTATGATTCTATAAAAAGCTTTTTCCGTTTTTTTGTGAACAAGGATTAGCATTGTTGGGACTATGCTGTTTGTACTGTTTATAGAAAAATAGAGTTCCAATCCGGATAAATTCGTCATCCGTATCTGAATTATCCAAATAATCCAGGTCGGATAAACAGATCAGATATCCGGATAATCCAACAAATATGGATAATTGTTCGGATATCAATGGGAACAGATATCAGATCGGATAACAGATAACGGATATTTGATAATTAACGTTAACCGGATAAACACTTAATGGATTAGAACTCTATTAGAAAAAAATTTCTTTCATGTGCAACTGCAAATAGTTCACTCTTTGGTCTAATTAGAGGAGTCGGGTTGATTGAGTTCGGGCCATAAAATTATAAAGAAAAAATAAATATGAAAATCCAAACCGATTTATTTTCAAAAAAATTAATAATAAATTTCGCGAAAAAAAAAAATTAGAATGACCTCCTCAAACATCGAACAAAACACCTCAATTCAAGACTCAAGAAATGCAAAACTATCATTTGATTGTATTATTCTTACTCTTTTAGTTGTAATTGGTGGCTTTGAGAATGGAATAAATCTGACCATTACTAATATACCAGGTATTTATTGTAATAGTGAATCTTGGTATACCTGTAAATACATGTTATTTATTTATTTATTTTGTAAACTAAAGAACAAATAATTAGAAATTGTTCAAATGGATATGATCGCGTACAAGGAACAGGATTTCCAGACTGTCTTCCAATGAAAAATTTACTCTGGTAAACTTGATAAAAATTGGTCTTACATTTCGATTTCTACACTCTCACGAATGGGAACCCAACAATGTTGGCCGATAACTTTAGATGACCTTTATAACTTTAATATTAGTATTCATATGACCAATATAACTTACGATCAAAAACCATATGATTATATTAAAACTAGAAAAACAGGTGCCCGGAGCTATAATACGTATTCTACTTTTTTACGGGATCTTCCGTCTTGTCGGGCTAACCCGTGTCGATCTTAAATGCCGATTGGTCCAATATTACATTAGCGTATCCCAAGTATTCGCGTCTCCATTGTAAGTCCTCCGCTACGCTTCGGACAATCATATCAAAAAAAATGTCATGATTTAGATAAAAATAATTGAACAGAGCTATAAATAGACTAATAAAACTATTGTCCTCGCTTAACGTTAAGAATCAAATTCATCAAAAAAGTTGTCAGTATTATGAATACTTGAATATCGGGCGGATCCCATTCGTGGAAGTATAGAAATACAGTCCCCCAAAATTAACAAACAATAGTCTAAACTTAATGCAAAATAGGGGTCTTGTAGTAGGAGGCTTTTCGATGGGTGGCATTTTTGGAAGTCTCATTGCGGGTGGTTTACAAACAATGTTTGGTAGGAAGAACACATTAACATATAATTCCTTTACTTGGATAATCGGTGGTGTACTTCTCGGTGCGTCCGTAAATCCTGTGATGTTCATATGCGGACGTATTATTATTGGGATTGGATCCGGTGTTAGTTCTGCTGTTATTCCGGTAATGCCTGAATATTTTTTGATATTTTTCAATATTTTAACGATAATACCACTTTTTTTAAAACAAGATATATTTGGGTGAAATCTCGACCATAAATTCACGTGGACTAATTGGTTCCATTTATCAAACTTCTGTCGTGACCGGAGGAGTTGCTTCTCAACTTGTTGGTTTACTATTATCATTTATTCCCGACTGGCGCATTCTCTTAACTCTTACGTCAGCAATTGCAATCTTCCAATTGGTGCTAATGCCTATTATAGGAATGGAATCTCCAAGATATTTGATTTCACAAAATAAAATTGAAGAAGCGAAAGAAACATTACAAAAATTAAGAAAAGGATATAACATTGATTTAGAATTTGAAGAAATTATTCAGGGACAATCCAAAAAACAGATTAATGCTATTAATGATGTTAATATCGAGAAAGATGATCAACATGGAATAAAGAAATCGGCTTCATTTAAAGAGCTTTTACAAGATTCATATTGTCGCAGGATGTTTTTCGTTTGTATTGGAACACAATTTGCACAACAACTTTGTGGTATCCAAGTAATCATCTCTTATAGGTAACTTAATCATAATAATATGATCTTATCATATGCGCATATTTCTAAATCATTAAATAATTTAATAGTACTGCAATTTTCTTAAATGTCATGGGTAATTCGGCCAAATACGTAACGATAATCATAGGCGGTACAATCCTGACAGTTACATTAATATCAACCTTTCTGATTGATCGAGTGGGAAGAAGACCATTATTGTTAACATCTGAGATTGGGGTTACCGTCTCATGTCTTCTGATCGTTATTGGCTCTATATATCGACATAATATTCTTCTTATAATCACATGTAAGAAATTCATTATAATTTATTATTGAATGTGCAAAATGCGCATTTTGTCGATCATCATGCAGTCACCATGCAAATTGCATGGTCGTCTGCATGGTAGCTGCATGGTGATCGGCAAAATGCGCATTTGCCATCTCTAGATATGGTGTATAAAATTCAAGCTTTAATTTGTGTGTGCTAGAAATATAATCTGCAATTCAATTATTATATTCATGCACCTTTAACTATAAATGTTTAGCGCACATCATGCTTTATTATTTAAAAAAAATAACGTTCACTAAACGCACGTTGAAAATTAATTTATGTGCGTGATCATCTTAAGTGCATGTTCAATTTTATACACTGATGTAGATTTGCGGATTCGCTATGAAATTCGGACATATAATCCCAGCCATTCAGAAGCTCGAATCACGATTTCCAAAATTCAATATGAACTTCTGAGTAATCGGGACACTGCTTTTCTAATCTACTTTTTTATCTGTTTTCAAAGGTTTACTCCATGTCGCTACTTTTAGTATCGCTCTTGGAAGTTTACCATTCTTTATTATCTCAGGTATGACATTTAAACAATTTTTTGTGGTAAATTTGGAAATTTTCCTATCACTATTACGCTATGATTAATCACATTTATATCCATGTGATTATCAGAAGTTATACCAACACGTTTCGTAGGCTTGGGTGGTTCAGCATGTTTAGGTATAAAGTGGTCCGTAAATTTTCTTGTAGGCTTCGTATTTCCTGTTATGAAAGAAGTTCTAAAAGAATATACTTTCCTCGTGTATGGTGCATTTACCTTTGGCTTTGTGATCCTTACCTGGTTTTTTGTTCCGGAGGTTTGTCTTTTATTTTTTATGGGAAAGTAATTGTAAACTTTATTTAGTAAAATAAATTTTTTCTTAGACTAAGGGAAAAAGCATCGAAGAAATAACTTCAGGCAGTAAATAACATAAAAAAAACCAAAAACAGACAAAAAAAAAA